ACAGACAAACACTGATGAGATATACTCCACATATAGCAATTGTTCCCGGACCTGATTCCAGAGAGCATGGTGTTCCCTCGTTCATCCACAACCTTACAATCTGTTCGGGTAAAGATCACTTGCAGACCCTCGTCACATAATTGGCTGACACCTATCAGGTTTGCCTTCAGTCCATGAACATAGTACACATTCAGAAGCTGCGGTTGATCATCACCTATCAGTGGTCCAACTCCCAGAATTTTACCTTGTCCACCATCACCAAAAGTTACTTGTCCTCCTTTGACTTTATTAAGGTTCTGAAAGCACTTTTGGTTTTCTGTCATATGTCTGGAACACCCGCTGTCAAAGTACCATTATGTTCCTACTTCATTGTCAGTGGAGGTATAGGCGACATTTCTTACCATCTCCGACTCAATGATTTCCATACGAGTAAAGTTACAGATCACATTCTTTTCAACATCGTCCATTCTGCCACGTTTGTCAGTGTAACTGCTGCCATACAGGTCCTTTTTGGAAATCCACACCTTTCCAAACACCTTAGGTTCAGGATAACACAACTTACTCCTCCAGGCCTTCTTTATACGGTTTCTAAGTTTGAAGCAGTTCTTGCGCTTGTGTCTTTCTTTGTTACAGAAGTAGCATACACGCTTTCTCTTGCCTTTTGGTACAGACATCTGATGCGCCTGTGTAGCTGTGTTTCCATCCGCAGGTTCGGCCTCTGTCCTCTTTGTATCCATGATAGCTTGAGTTTTCCCACTACTTTCTGCATGACTAGAGTCAAGTTCACTGATGGAGGTACCACCAAAAACAAAGCCTGAGAGGTTTCCTGTATGGGGTGTGAGTTTTTCAACTTGAAATCCCCCAGTATAGTCTAGCCCCCAGTTCTTCTTGGGTGGTTGCCCTGAGGAGAGAATCTGATCAAGGCATTCAGCACCTGTGTTTAGCATCCGGATCTTTTTGTGATTTTCCACGAGTTGACTCTGCAGGTTTCAGGCCTTCTCTTTTTCCTCGTTACCACCTCTCTCAAGTTTTCCAGCTTATTCTCTAGAATTTTCCTTTTTTCTTGCTCCAGGGCAAGCTCGTTCTGCAGGTCAGGTGCTTTAGTATTGGACGGCTTTGTTGGCTCAGAGTTTGCCCTTGTCTCATGATCTTGAGTAGACGTCTTTTCCATTTCTAGGATGTTAAGCTGGGCCTTCATCAGAGCCTTGTCTTTGATCAACTGCAGATTTTCGGAACTCAGCTTCACCCAGCTGTCATACAGTTCCTGTATCCTGCTTTGGGATCGATATCATCGTCGGAGTCTGAATCTGAATCACCCGTTTTAATCTCATTTATTCCCTCATCATCAGCAGTGAATGCAACGAAGTTCAGCAGCAGGTTCTCATTCACATCTTCTTCTTCATCTGAGTCAGAGTCTTCAAACACTATCATCAACTTATCACTTGGCTTCATGTTGTTAGGACACTCGTTTCTGGTATGTCCAAAACCTTTGCACTCGATGCACTTCAGCTCCTTCCTCTTAGTCAGTGGGCATTCATTTCTGAAGTGTCCAAACCCTTCACACTCATGACACTGGAGATCCCTCTTTCTGGAGTTTCCAGAGCGTTCCCCATCAGCTCTCGTTCCACGATAATTTCCTCTGTCACCATCTGATCTTTGAATTTTTGTGAATCTATTCTGACCTTTCTCCACCTTCTTCAGCATTTTGTTGAAGTTCTTGGCAAGCAAACTTAGATTTTCCTCGACCTGAGTCATCCGATCTGTCTCCCCTGTCGCTGCAAAAGCAATCCCTTTCTAAGTTACCTTCTGATCATCAGAGGCTTCCATTTCTTCAGCCTTTAAGAGACCGACCAGTTTGTCAAACTCCAGGTTGTCTGTGTCCATGGAGTACTTTACCACTGTCTTATGTGCAGCAAACTTGGAGGGTAAGCACCTGAGAAGTTTCTTAACCAATTTTTTGTCTTTATATTTCTTCCCAAGAACTACAGCTTCATTGGCTATAGTGATCAGTTTGGTTGTGAAGCTGGCGACAGACTCGTCAGATCCCATTTTGAGGTTCTCAAACTCCGATGCAAGGTGGTCTATCCGAGTTCTTTTCAAGCTTGTGTCTCCCTCAAAATGATTCACCAGTGTTTCCCATGCTTCCTTAGCAGATTCACATCCCTGAATGATTCCAAATTCATCCAGATCCACTGCAGCAAAGATAGCCGATATAGCCTTTGAGTTGTACTTAGACAGATTTTTGTCAACCTCTGTCCAGGTATTCTTTGGCTTCGGAATCTGCACCTTATTCCCTTCTTTGTCTTCGGATGCCACAGTTGGGTAGGTCCACCCTTGTTCAACGGCTGTCCACGCATCTTCATCTATCCCTCTAATTAGGTGTTGCATACGAGCCTTCCAGTGTCCAAAGTTCCCGGCTCGAAGCAGAAGAGGTTTTTGCACAGCAATGAGATCTTTTGAGGTCTCCATGTTCACCAAGGATCTCAACCTGATGTAGAAGAGATTTCCACGATAGGTGACCCGCTCTGATACCAAATATAAGTGTAGAACACAGAGATTCTTCTCAAAAATGCAAAACTCTTATTGCTTTATTATTAAAAATCACTTAGACAATCTTCTCAGATCTGTCTAATCAGATTTACACGACCTTGCCTAACAACTCGTCACTGACCAATTCCTAATCTACCCAACCTAACACAACAACAGCTGTGTAACTAAAGGACAATCACGAACCATAATCTCTCTCTCAATTTCTTGTGATGATCTCTCTTTCTTTTTGCTTAGTTCGGCCAACCCTACTAAGCTCTTCTCATCAGAAATATACCACATCTTCAATTACGCATGTGTATCTCCTTCCCTTTTCTTGTTGCGATTCTGATCTTCCTTTACAGATATGTAAGATCTCCTCTCTCGCCTTGCTGTAGTCGTGCCACATCACCTTTCTTTCCAAAGCTTGCGTGTCACGTGCAACTTCCAAACATTTCCCGCTTTTCTATGTGTCACACACATCGCCTTGATGAACTGCCGAACTTACATTGTGGACAGAGACGGTTTTTCCTAGCTTGTCGAATTCAAATTATAGACTGTTTGCCGTAGATCTTTTAGTGTTTGGGAAGAGCCCTAAGCCTACGGATTCACTTTACACTATGAGAGAGCATGTGGAGATGATTGAGAGATCGGTACTGCTTAAACACAATTTGAAGTCGTTCCACATTGTGGCTCACTCTTTGGGTTGCATCTTGGCTCTTGGCTTAGTCGCTAGGCACAGCGGTTCTATCAATTCACTAACCCTCCTCGCTCCTGTTAGCTAACTCAATTAATCTGCCTCATATTCATATATAATAAAAAAATGAGTTACTTTATTAATCAATATAAATACGTAAGAGCCCAAAGGACTATATATACGCATTCATATATCTTGACGCCTATTGATATAACTCTATAAGTTGGTAACATTTATACATGTATAAAATTTACTGAAGTTTGACACGTGTGCGTGTATGGCGAAGCCGTACCATCCGGTGCCGGTGTCGGAGGCGGAGCCAAGGCAGTATGTGATGAGGAAAGTGGCGCCGCGGCGAGTTTGGCCACCGATGGCGTTTGGAGCGTCAATGGCGTGTTGGTATGAACACATTAGCCGAACCATTTGTCTCCTCATTTGCAAGAACCATCGTCTTTGGCAATTTCTTGCCAAACTCATAACCCGTAAATCTGTAATAATAGGTATCTAATTCTTCATCAAATTCAATTAACGTACTCATATATTAAAATAGATATAGGTATGATATAAATGGCGTAAACTTTTATCAGTTTACATATAGCTAGAAATATATTGACACAAGAGGAAAATAAAAGGACTTAGGCAACCTAACGATGAAGAGGTAAGCTAATAGCTAATATTAAGTTCCAAGTTTCCAACCTAACCAACCTACTAGTGATTGGAGCATTTTGAATGTTACTTTGCATTGTGTCATGCCTATTTATAGTATTATTAACTCTATTCCATCTATAGTGTGCAATTATTTATGATTATCTCTATTCTGTATCTATGGCATATAATCAACTCTACTATATCTATGGTTGGAGTTAATTGGAACAATAAGAATTACTAATAATATCAGATTCCCTACAGCTTAAGTAGAAACTATTAAGATTCCGACATAGAAGCTAAGAAAGTAAGCGAGTAAGAGAAAATTAAAGTAACGTGTGTTTGGAATGTGACTTTGCAATATGTCATTACTATAGTTCACTATGTATTTAGTTTCCATTTATAGATGATTTCTAAATAGAATTAGTGGTTGGAGACATAATTGTATTAGAATAATAAAAAAATGCAAAAAATATCATCAGATCCCTAGAACAGGATCCTATGAAGCAAAACATAAGTTTCACGATTTTGTGTAATTTCTTCAACTAATTCTCAATGCAGGACAATAAACTTTCTAATAGAAGGTTTTGTGTCACACGCATAACGCAGCGTGGCACACTCTACACAACATAATATGTGGAATAGGGAGCAAACTCGATATTTATCTGACATGGTACGAGATAAGCTGAATTGCAATGTCTTCATCTTCCATGGAGAGACGATGAGGTCGTACCTGTTGAGTGTAGTTACAATGTTCAAAGTCGGGTTCCTCGAGCACGAGTTAAGGTGGTTGAGAACAAAGATCACATTACTTTAGTTGTCGGAAGACAGCAAGAGTTTGCTAGAGAGCTCGAGAAGATTTGGAAGACGTCAAGTTTGTGATTTGCTATCAAAGTATATTGATATAATTCAAAAATTAAGCGAAACCCTTTTGAGTGATTTTAAGTACTTAAAGCTTTTCTGCTGCATCGTTATTATTTATTGAGTTTGATACTCTGAGAAGAAAGAAAAGAGATGATTACTAACAATAATAATTCTATTTTGCTTATTATTATAATGACTTGGTTATGTGATTAAAGACTAGCTTATGCTTTTGGCCATTATATAATTCTAGGAATCGAAAAGATAAATGATCTAAGGCAGTGCTTTGATATGATACAAGACTGATCCATTCAAACCATAACAAAACCACTAGTTTTTGTTTGCCAACAAACCAAAAATAAAAAGCTAAATTAAAACTTGGGAAAATGTCTGAAATCGTTTCACCTAATAAGAACAATGGGGAATGATAAGATGAGCAGAATTTGAGTTTTTTTTTTTGTGTGTTTTCACCTGTGCTTGCGTTTCGATGGTGGAATATTCTTCATGCTGCTTCTACCGCCTCCACCGCTAGTTCCAGGACGCGATTTCCCAAACGCTTTCATCTTCCTTCTCTTCCTCTCTTCCTCACTATCAGACTCATCTCCATGCTCTCTGTCTGCATTGGTAGCTTCTCTCTCCAGCTCGTCCCAAGTCAACCCTTTCTCTTCCTCTGACTCTTGCTCCGAGTCCTCATCTTCTTCGTCCTCTGACTCAACCAGTGACTCGCTCTCTGAAGCCTCATCCTCTGACTCTGACTCAACCTCCACATCTGATGGCTCATATCCTTTGTCTGACTCCTCGGAGCCACCAGATTCAGAGTCGCTTCCGTCCAAGTTCAAAAACTCCCATCCTCCATCGTCCACAAAGCTCTGTGGATCATCTGTGATCGTCTTCAGGATCTGTCTCCAGTTCAGGTTCAGTTTGCTCTCGTAGTACTTTATATCGGTAGTGTCAAGCCACTCCTTTATCCCTTCTAGAGAGCTTGTGGGAATCGAGTCAACCCTGAGAACATCTTTTTTGAAGTCCTTGAAGATGATGGCCATGTCAAAGTTCTTCTGCCCAAACCCAACTCTCTCGAGATTCACAATCTCAATCTCACTTAGGCTGACCACGAAAAATGGGGTTTCAGTAAGCTCAACCAGGCAGCTGGAGGTCGGGATGATGAAGGTGGATGCCTTGTGCGGGACACCATGAAAACCAAGCTCTCTCAGAGGTTGATCAAACTCAAGGTCCAAACTTGCAAATTGCGGTAGTTGCCACATATCGTTGACCCGGTTTGCAAAATGATTGAAATCCATGTTGATCTTGTTTTTCCTATCGCGCTCCCTCTGTTCCTCGTCAATCTCGTCTGGGTCATAGGCTGATCTCCTTCCACCGCCTAAAGACTGCACAACATCCATCACCTCCACGAAAAACTGGACGTCCTTTGTCTTCTTGTTTGCTACCATGATGTGGTTGTGCAAGTGGAAATGCAGGATGGTGATCATCTCCTTCTCAGCCGGCTGGAAAAAAGCATGCTTTATGTTTGCAAACAGGACATCTACCCGCTCACCGGGCCTGGTTGTCGAATATCTGAAACCATTGGCATGAGCTTCGAGAGTCCCAGGAATCTTCTTGCGACCACTAAACTGCGGACGGATCCACAGGTCAGACAACCTGAGGGGTTTGAACTTGTTTCCTGCAAGCTGAAGTTTCTCTTGGGTCACCAATGTCGCCCTTTCAATCCTTTCTGACTCTCGCGCATTGACTTGCCGTCTCAGGGTCTTAATCGCCTGAACCACTTCACTGCTATGCCTTGAGTCCTTGGACCGGAATGAAACCTCTTTGAGGTATATAGCACCCTGGTTTTTCAAAGTGTTCGAGTCATGAGGGCTAAAGGGTGTACCCGGGACATTGAAAATGATACGGATGTAGTTATTCCGGTTGCTATCTTGCTGGCTCGATACTGTTCTTATCGTTGAAACATGGAATGGAACCATGCTACCATAGATGGGTAGCAATAAAGCCTCGTTCTTCTGATCAATCTGGATCATCAAATCCCGAGGCTGAGGCACATCATTCACGTTCTTGTAAGCAACCAAATCAGCTGAAGTCTTTGAAGCAGACCGGCTGTCTCCAGCACCGGACGTGTCACCGGCCAGCCTTCTGGCAGTTTCTTCATTTTTCTGGCGTGCAAGCTCTGCCTGATGCTGCTTCCGCAGCTCTTCTTTAGATACCGCATGATCATCTGATCTAAGAGCTGTCTTCGTCATGTAGTTCTCAGGGCCGCTGGTCCTTGCCTTCTTCCTAGGCTTCTCTTCTTCTTCATCCTCTTTGAACGAGTAAGCCACATCCTTAACAGATTTGGAGCACTTAGTCAGAAGCTCCGGATTCTGATCTTTAACGATAACAGTGTCGGCCAGCAAAAGTGAGAATTTCTTGTTCTTGCTCCGGCTCTCCGACTCACATTCCAAGTTCTGGAAACCAAGAGACACATTAAATGCCATCTTTGGTCTCAATATTTTGTCATTCTTTGCATTGATATTCAATCCCGACTCTCGGAATTCAAGACCGATACCAGTCCCAGCAGATTTAGTTAGCTTGTCCACCAACTCAGGGGCTTCCTTTTCAACCACGGAAAGGGCAGCTTGATAGACAGTGTTTAACTTTCTTCCTGGCCTCAAAGCATTAATAGCAGCCTCGTGTGCCTTGAGAAGAACCTCATAAGCCTTGCTCTGGAGAGAATTTGCATCTATTAGGTAAGTCCTGGCGACATTTGAGCAATAACTATTGTACCGAGCACCAACAGCACAAATAATGATGCTCGCTGGATCATAGGTGAGCAGTTCATCATTGCTCGCAGCGCTAGGCTTGAGATCAAACTTTCCTCCACTTTGAAATATCGGAGGGTAGCATATGTCAACATTTTCTGCCCTCAGCTTCACATTGGCTTTCGTTGGCTCAAGTATCGCCTTCTCGGTGAGATCCATCAACAAAGAGTGGGTGACGTCTTTCTCCTCATCAATGACATTCTCAAGTTTTGGAACAACAACATTTTTCATCACGCTGAAGGCTAGATACGCAGCTTTCTTCACATTAATGATCTCAGTATCGTCTTTGACAGCAAAGAGATCAGACAATCCCCCAGTGATATCAACAAACTGGAAGTCCGCATTCTTTAGCCTCTCAGTCCATGTCTCCAGAAACTTGCCTTCAGGGACTTCACGAGCAATGTGCCCAACAACTTGAGAATCTTTTCCATCACCCAGAGATATATCACGGATGGCACGAAATATGGCATCCATCTGCCCTGTTCCATCATCGGCCTTATTAACCTTTACATGCATAACAACATCAAGCTTCAACTCAGCATGTGCAGGTTTTTTCACAACTTCAAGCAGAGATGCCTTGCTCTTGCTACACAAGAAATGGATCTGCTTCGAGGTAAAAACCATTATTGTATCCGGAAACTCATACCCAAGAAGCCAAATATTCAGTGCTGACGATTTCAGGTAACGCAGATCATCAGAAGCAGGAGGGGTAGCAACAGCAATAGCGTCCGCAGATCCCCATAAGTCTGCACTGTGCTTAGTCCAGTGTGCATACAAGGCTTTTGTACGTGAGATAAAATTTGTGACATCTATGGAGTAGGTATTCCCAGCTCTGGGAGGCCCTCCAGTAGGAACTCGTGCATTACCGTTTCGAGAGTCTGCCATCTAAAGAGTCTAGCAACAACTTATCTGAGAAAGAAATGTAACATATAACTCAGAAACATGAAAGATATCATATGCACAGACCTAAAGCTTTCACAAATCAGGAATAAAACAAAGAGTCATTGTTATAGTCAAGCAGATCACAGGTTGAAACGAGACAAGGAATCAACAAAAATAAATCTCGTGAATACCATGAGAAGTTCAACGATTTCCAAATCCGCATGACATCATACCAAGAAAAATTTTGGTGAATAAACTTCAGAAAAACGTGAAAGTGAGACCTTATATCGAAACATTAGACACTAGATATAAAGAAAATATGAACTAACCAATGTGAAGTATTTCACGCAGAAGGTAGGTCGAGAGGTATACACTTAATCACAACAGCAGTTTTTTTTTTGTGAAAGACTACTTAACGCATCCGATTCTAAATCTAGGGTTTGATAGATTGAAACTATGTTTAACCTTAAATTTAGAGTGAATACCACCAAATTCACAAACCCAGAAAAATAGAATTAGGTTAAAAAATAAACGCACCTCGAATCCAACCCGAAAAAATCTCAAATAAAAGCAGAGACGCGAACACAAGCACGCCGAAACCCTAGAAATCGAAGAGAAACAAAACGATTAATTACTGAGAAATGCTGCGAAATCAGAACGGATCGAGTTAGAAACATGATTTTCGACGAAGATTTGAATCAACGAACACAAAAAAGTGATGAAAACAAGTTGAATCCGAAATCGAAAACAGTGAGAAATCAAAAAGGGGATGAACAAAGAAATCAACAAGATACATACCCAGAGGGTTTGAAAACGGAGGACAAAAACGTGGTAACCTCCACGCGACGGCGGTTCCAGCCGCGAAACGAAGAACACAAAAAAATTCCGGCGAGGCTCTCGTGAGAGAGAACGAGACTAAGCTATAAGAGAGAAAAGGAGGGACCAAAGAATGGCTATTCTGCGAGGCAATTCAGAAAAGGGGACATATTTTTATTTCATTATATTGGTGGGTCCCGCCTAATTTTTTTCTTCCCGTAAACACCGACTTTAATTTGCTTGAAAAGGCCCGTTTCGGCCTTTAACATATTGGGCTAAAAATATCTAATCAAGGCCCATTACGTATATTCTGATGGTAAGAAAAACTCAAATTGAGTTTTACCATAGTTATACACATTCTAAACCAATAATTTGAGTTTTACCATAGTTATACACATTCTAAACCAAGAATTTGAGTTTTGACCCCAAAAAAAAAAACCAAGAATTTGAGTTTTACCATAGTTTCAAATTCTTGGTTTGAGTTTAGATATACACACATTCTAAAACATTATTAAACTGAAACCTTGATATTTTGTTTCAGTTTCTACAAACCGAATCCCAAAGAAATTTATTAACCAGATTGCCCACTTATATTCAAACCTAGAAAACACCATTGCTATTCCATTTGGGATCTATCAAATAGTAAAGGGAGATAATTTTTGGTAAACTTGAAGGAACAAGAAAATGAAACTATGAAATGTGGTTCAAATAGTAAAATGAGTTCTGTTTGTCAAAATGTGTTGGGTTGGTAGGGTTGATTTCTCTTTGTTTTTTTTTTTGTTTTTTTGGGATAAATGGTTGATTTTCTCTTTGTTTTTTGATTTTTTGGGGTAAATGTTGGATTTTCTCTTTGTTTTTTGATTTTTTGGGGGTCAATGGTTGATTTTCTCTTAAATTTATGGACAAGTCATAAATTGTAGTTGTCCCTTCGGGGACATCCGATAAAAGTCATAAATTGTAGTTTCCCTTGAGAAGACTTTGGTAGTCTCTTTCTGAGTATCTCTAGTGTTTGTCTTCTATTGGCTTTAGCCAAAGTCAAATTATATATATTCCATCAAACAAATGATGGGTCAAATCCACATCATATACTACCAAAGTAATGTAAGTGTTTTTGTTTCTTGAAAAGAAAAGTTTTTTCTTCTTGTTCTTCCCATTTCTCCAATGGATCCAAGAATGATCGTCACCACTTAAATCGGAAGCATCGATTTGTACAAGGTTATCCACGAGAAATCATACATTCTTGAAATCATTGATTCAGTACCTTTCATCAACACTCCTCTTCATGTAGCATCTGCTTCCGGAAACCTTGCTTTTGCCACTGAGTTGATGAATCTTAAGCCATCCTTTGCTAGAAAACTTAACACGTATGGTCCATTGCATCTTGCTATAGAGGAAGGTGAAACACAGTTAGTTCTAAGTTTCCTCAAGGTTGATCCCGACCTTGTTCGCCTTAGAGGAAGAGAATGTATAATTCTTTACTAATTACTGTTTTCAATAAGCTATGGGGAAGAAAATGCAGAACCGCCATTAATTAGAAACCTTAGTGAATCCAATTATCTTTTTCTTATCCCGGATGAATCAACTAGATTATGGGTTCTTCAAAGGGGTTTGTGGCATGTCGATGATTGTGTGATGTTTGTAGCTTCTTGGATTCCAAAAGCTTCATTGGCTATCCATGAGATCAAAACAATTCCAGTTTTTAAAAAATATATCCAATATTTTGTACTGAATTCCGGGAATTAGCCATATTACATCTGGTTTAGGTGCTCCAATGGCAACTCACAAAATAATTCTAGACGACTAGACCCCATTCTCATGGGTGAGGCGAAGATTCTGGTGGAAGTTGAGTTGAGTAAAGCCTTTCCGACAAGAATTTTCTGCTAGTAACGAAACAGGTTTTATTTCAATGGTGGATGTCGACTATGCTTGGTTACCATCTAAATGTAGTAGATGCGGTCAACTAGATCATAAGATCAAGCGGTGCTTACAAGCATATGCTTCACAAGTTATGCTTCTACAATTGTGGAGACTGATATGGTGATTAACTCAGAAGCTGGGAACGAGTCTAGGCCGAATGTTGCACATCAGACCTCCATTTCAGTTCCCGCCATAAGTTTAGAGGTAGATCCTTCTAACCCCTCTGTTCGGCCATCTATTGATCCAATCCCGATTGGAGTATCTTCTTCTTGCATAGAGAAAAGTTCCATAATTCCAGGTGCTACATCCACCGCAGAATATGTCTCTTGTCCTAAGGCACATTCCAACGTACCTGCAACTATTCCTACTCCTATTTCTATTGAGTCTCCACTATCAGAGACTGCTATTGGTTTTTCAAAAGCCACTACTCCTCAAGCTATTGCTACCGTCCGAAGGGAAAGAGTAACGCAAGTTGAACACAATTTTGGTGCGAACAAATTTGCCTCTTTGGCTTTTTCGAAAGGAGAAGAAGATTTGTCAGATTCAGAAAAAGAGTCTGACACTACGGATCTTATGGCACCTTCAGGAAAAAGAATCCTTCGAGAGAGACCAGTTAAACCATCAACAAAAGTTAAAGAGATGAATTGTCAAGTCACAGGTGGTGGACGAGGAAACCAAGATCGTGGGAACCGAGGTGGACGAAGTGGACGTGGCTAGTCTTAAGCATCTTAATCACTATATTCAATCGTAGCGGATGATGCGATTTCATATGATGTATTCAATGTATCCAAGCTTTTTATTTCTTGTAATCTCTTTGCAAAAACTGCATGATTTTGTATCATGGCTTGTAAGTGGTTTCGTAATCAAATAAAATAGTTCGGATTAAAAAAAAAATATTAATTACTGACATCAAATATCTGATTTGCTATCCTATATATTAAATGAGAATGTAGTTTAATGAAAAAAATCCGATTTGTTTTAAATAAATTGGCTTAGAAAACCTCATTTGCTAACGTCAATGATGACGTTTATTCCACGTCAAATGTGACATGGCAAGGTCGCTAGCTCTGCGCAATTTCATTGGATGATGATGCTGATGTGTAAATTCTGTCCAAGTTTTTTATGATATAAAATAATTAAGAAAAGAGAAAATCACAAACGGATAAACACGCGGATCTTTATACCCGACCCGGCCCAATTATCTGTTTTTAAGAACATAATTTGGCCCTATACGTCTGAGAAACCTATTTCTAAATTTATTGAAATTATTGATTTTTAAAAACTTTTCCGCGTAAGAAAATAGAAATGATTCTCAAAATGGAAGATTACATTAACTATTAGCAGGATTTACCGGAGTTAATGTAACAAAATATACAGAAAATTTAACTTTTCAAAAAGAAACAAGAATTTATGTTACAGTTTAATACTAGACATCAATTTTGGCAATTAAATCAATTTGAATATATTGATTCTCAAATATTCCCGCAACAATACCTACTTCTACGCACATTCCGAATATCCATATTCTTCATTTCATTTTCTTTCTCAAAATAATTGAAATCCCGCCTAACATCATTTTAAAAATGTTTTCATTCACTTCCTCTCCCTATATATACCACATATCGTAAACCCTAAAACTCTACCATTCTCATACACTAAAATGGCTTTAGTTCGCAGATGTTCAGCTGCTATAGTTCCATTTGCCAAATTAGATCAATCAAGTGAAATTCAGAAAGTTAGAGCTACTATATTTTCACTTTGGAAAGTCAAGAATAGGCAGTCTGGCTTTGTTATAGAAATGGTATTGGTTGACGAAGAGGTTTGTATGCGATCTTATGTATTTTTCTTATTGTTATTTTAAGTAATCTATAGATTATATAGTAATACTATTTACGTGTGATTCACAGGGCACTAGGATTCACGCTACTGTTGATGAAGAATTGATCGCAAAACATAAAGGGATCCTTATAGAAGAAAAATCACTTTCTATTAATTGCTTCATAATTAAGAATACTATGGTGATTTTAGGACGACTCCATTACCATACAAGATTGCTTTGTGCATGACAACCCGTGCTAAGGAGATTAATGATTTTCCATCAGATTTGCCATAGAAATATTTGTCTGATTTCAAGTCAATCAAGGAAGACAAACTCGACAAAAACGTCCTCATCGGTATGTCATCATCTTGATTATGAAATTTATATTATAATAATGTACATATTTATCATTGAATACAAATATTTTTTCTTGAAGATGTCATTGGACAAATTGTCACCGTTGGGAGTATGGAAGTTATAAAACCTAAAGGAAAAAGTGGGATCAGCGAGAAATTGATGATAACACTTTGGGATACCAAGTAAGTGGTTATGATATCATACCAATATAAACATAACAATATTTTTAAAAAATTTAACGCTAATATGTTTACTGATGAAGCGATGTCCAACTGAAATGTACACTATAGAGACAATATGCTAAAACAACTGTTGAGTACACTGATAAACATATGGCTGCTATTGTTGTGTGTGTAATGCGATTTTTCTGTATAAAAGAGTACAAATGTTAGATTACTATATCCCCTATTCATATATATACAGTTTTTAGAGATTTAGGATTTGGATTAGTTTGTTAATTATTCTTTTTTAATGTTTTCCGGGTATAGGTGACATTTCAATATCAAATGTTTTCAACTCCACCAAAATTCTGTTTGATCCTGACATCAAGATCGTGAAAGACTTCAGAGAAAAGTATGTTATGTGACAATTTAATATCATTTTAAAATTGTAGAATTTATATAATTATAGGATTATATTTTTGTAGGTTGCCAAAAAACAATCAAATGATTGTGCATGCTGAACAGAGTTATTCGACTTCTTGCTATTGACTACCGTGAAGAATTCTTAGGTGTGAAAACTAGGAGGCGTACGATAGCTGGAATTCGTGATAAAAAGCGGTATGAGCTATATATTTTGAAAATGGTATAAATATATTTACATTTAACTATATACATATTAATGGTTTTGTTATATCCTAGCAAGATTGTAACATGTGTTACGGTCAAAGACATTGACACTTCAAAGCTGTGGTATTATTGGGCATGCAAACCTTGCAACATCAAAGTTTTAGAGCATGGAATTATGTTTGATGATGAAGATTACGATAAGAGGATTCTTCTTTTCAGTTGCAAGAATTGTGCTGATATTTATTCATATGATACCATCGTCGCAAGGTAATACAATGATTTGTCCCATAAAGTCATGAAAACATTACTTATTTCATTAAGTGTTTCTTAGGTAATATATTTAGCACATATAGCAGAATTATAAATATTGACTTTCTCTGATTGATTGGATTAATGTTCGCCTTAATTTATTACATTGATTCGTCTCATCATACATTTATTCGGCACTACATTACATGTTTATGATTGTAACGTTTAAATAACTCATTCTTTTACTATATTTCAAACAATGTAGGTACTACATTGTATTATTTGTAACTGATGATTCAGACGTCGATGTCTGCTTCTTGATGTTTGATGACACTGCTCAAAGGTTGTTAGGTCATTCAGCTGAGTCTATAATGGAACAAAATGATGAGGTTAGTTGTGTAATAATTTTGTACATTATGCAATATTTACATTTTCTTAAATAATATTAATCCATTATATATAATGATGCGCATGATTTACCAAGAGGGCTCCCTGATGGCTTGACAAAGCTCCTAACTATGAGGATGCTTTTCAAAATAACAGTTTCAGAAGAACATACAAAAGGAAGCCAATCTCCGTATGTAGTAGAACTATGGTCTCAAGATGTTGACATTATGACTGAGTGGGATTCTTGATCAGAGGTAATATATGATAAATTTTTACAAACTTCTAAAGCTTGCTTTTTTCATCGTTTAGTTAAATTAAGACATCAACAATGTACATATGTCTCCAGCAACCGTTGATGCTTACGAGTTCAGACGAACTTGAGAATCCATCGTCTGGATCTTCACTCACTCCTTCTTCTAAGAAGGTAATTAAGAGTCCTGACTATTTGGATGAAGGTGAAAGATCTGTTAACAAAAAGCGACCGAAGCAAGAGATCCCAATGAAATTATGAAGAAGCAAGATATCGTAATGAAATTATTGCAAAAATGCATTGCTGGTGATTGATTATTGCTTTTGATATTTGTAACCAATTTGTCCCATGGGTGGATAACGTTTGAACTCTATTCCTTATTTTGTTTGGGATATTTGTGGAACCTTTTGGCGTATTTTATTTAATCGTGGAACTTTAATGTTGCCCTAGATTGTTTTTCCCTAATTATATTTTTTTGAAACTTTAATTTGTGATTTTTTATTTCCAACCAACTGTCATAAATTTACATGAGAATTTCAATTAAGACGACATTAAAACAGTAACCGTTTTACTCCATCACATAGAAAACTATTCATTTCCTTATACTCTTTCATCTTCCATCTTCACAAAATTATTAAAACAAAGAATGTCTCCTTGTGAAAGACTTTCCGATCTTCAGATTTCAAAAGGTGGATATC